TTCTCAACGCATTATGCATTTACTCACCAATAATGGCTGCCTTTTTAATTTGGTCAAGGGGGACCAGCTGCTCCCCATCCCCTCTGGTTGGCTTCCCACCTTAAAGTAATATTTCAAAATTAATTATGAAAGGGGGGTAAAATGAAGGTGGTGAAAATAAGAGATTTTTTATATACACATCACATTTTCTTGAGGTGCAAGGAAATACAAAAATGGCAAGTAAAAAAGCGATGGTATGCCCGCACACAAACATAATTTATTCCACAGAATATGACTGACTTGTTTTTTTGAAGGACAGAAGAGATTAGGAACATGTTGTTTAGTACCATTCAGGTTGCTTTTCAGCAAAGTCTCCAAATCAAAGGTGCCCAGCAGCAGATCCCGCACCATGGCAGTGGCAGAGGTGGCAAGGCGGGCTGCTTTCCACGCTTCTGCCTGACAAAACACCCCAGAGCCCTTTATAACTTCAATCTGAAAAATAATTTCACATCACAATATTAATTTATTGGCAACTTTTAGAAACTTTTTCATGTTTCATATTGATTATTATGCTTAGCTTCCCAAAAGTTAATAGGTTATGATGTATAAATGCAGATTAATGATAAAGATATGAAACAAATTAATCATTGCCCTAAACGTTATTAAAGGAGAGAAGGAGGAGGTTGGATGGAGAGTAGGGAAGGAGAAAAGACAGTGGGTGGAGAGGAGCGAAGGGGGGCAGGAGAAAAGGATGATTGTCTCTTATAACACTAATTGGCTCCTACAAAGCACACAGTTTATACCCATCCTTACTACATATGCCTTAAGTAAAATAAGTACAGAAAAATCTGAGGTATATAAGGGTTACACACACCTGTGGTGTCTCTCGAAAGCACTCAGTCACCATGGGACTCTCTTTAAAGGGCTCGGTCTCCTCTCTGGAGTCTTAGAGAAAAAAGAAACTTAGTAAAACTCTACAACAATTTTTATTCATCCAAGCAAGCCACTATAGATTCTTATTTACAGGGGGGGCTTGGAAAACATTAAACATGTCAATAAATTCATAGCCAAACATAAAAAAAAAAAAAAAATCAGCCAAACATCATAAAAATCCATATAGCTCTGTTTGAGTAACAAGTAAACTAAATAAATAAATACAAATGCAAGGGGGTTACTCACCGGTTGCACTTCTCCAAAAGTCGAGAAGGAGACATCTAGATCCTCCACAGGACTCCTTCCAGTCCTTCCCCAAAAATATAGTCATTCTCTTCAATAAATTAAAGTGCAAATACATCAAATAATTAACACTATCATTATCAATCAGCCCAACATCACAAGTCTCTACAGCTCTGCTTGAGAAACAATTTTAAAAAGCAATGAAAATCAGTGGAACTTACCTTTTGAGCAATAATGGTGAGGTCACTTTTCATTTGAGGGATTTCTAGCAAGAAGTTATATAGCCTAAAGAAAAAACAATTACAATCACTAAAGCAGAATAGCACCCAGCAACTCAGTGCCCTAACGTTAACGTTACTCTTCGAAAGACATTTCCTGCAGCTGTGAACGCAAACTACAACCCTCCAAAGCCCATTGATAAGGCTCTGCAGAGGAAACCTGGTTGTGAACGCAATAAAAAAAAAAATCTTTCTCCAATTTCTCCCAAATTCAAATTCCCCAGGGTTTTTTTTCTGGAGCCGATTGACTTCTTGAGCCGTTGAAGGCAGAGAAGCATCATTTATTCTCATGAACTGTATGTTCTCTAGGCCATGACTTTTGTTAACCCTCTACGAATTCCTCTAGAAAGAGACACATAAATATAATTCTAATTTGAATCTTATCAACGGCTACGTGAGCACCCACACTAACTTTACCTATGTTAACAACATAGCATGTATTTTGCCAAACACGTGTTACACTTTCAGCCCATACAATTTCTAAGTTTATACTTCTCTGCCACCGCTATATCCATCTCCAGAAAAAAACCCTGCTAATAAATATTATAATTAGGAATACTTACGATTGATGATAAGTAGGACATAGCGGATCTCCAACGCTGATATCGCCATTTTCACTCCCAGCCGATATCTTTCGGCGCGAATCGTCAAACGTCAGGCGGATGACGTCATCAACTACGCGGCGCTGTAGCCATGGTAGCATCATAGTGGAGAATTTTTATTTATTTATTTATTTTTTTTTATTATTTTTTTTATTACAGAGTTTGATATCAAGTTCTTGACACATTTCTTTTACAGATTTTCACATTTGATAAGTATAAGTTGAAACAACAATTCTTTGAAAAAAAAAAGAAAAAAAAAAAAAAATAGATAAAGGCCATCTCAAACATATATTAGATTCATTTAGCAGAGATACAGATCTTTGGGCTTTTCGATTTTTTAAAAACTTTACAGACTCAAAATGCTTGTCTTTAAATTCATTAACCATAGTGAAATGCTCAGATAGATGGGATGATGATGATGATGAAGATGATTACTTCCATGTATGTTCTGTTCTTTTTTCTTTTCTTTTTTTTTTGTTGCTACATTTAGACTGTAATGACCTTTCAGCCATATTCATATAGAAACTGCATTAAGACAATACAGAAAACATTGCATTTTGCATTGCATTTGGTGGAACGGTGAATGTGTGGATGTGTATGAGCTATGTAAATCTGGAAGTGACTTGAAATTGGAAAAAGGGCTTGATTGACAAAATAAAAAAAACCACAAACCATTTTGTTATTTCCTTCTTTTCCACTATCTTCATACAAGGAAGAATTGACCTTGTAATAGCTTTCCATCTCCTCTCACTTAATTGCCATAGTTAAATTCCATAACATGCCAATTACATGTGATACCAATTTCACATGTTCGCACATATACAGTTCTTGCATAATTTCTTTTTTTATTTAGTTCTAGTTATTGCCTCGATAATAGAAAATATGAGCTAGGCATCATGTATGACAGTTGCCAAAGTGAGGTATAATGACCAGATCCTGCCATGAGCTATATAGGAGTCATGTATGCACATATAGGGCTTGTATGTGGATAAAAAGAAGCAATACAGGATACCTATATGCCTGTATATGCACATATATGCACCTCAGTTTAGCCTATATGTGCAATATATACGCATATATGCAGCATATATATTATCATATATGTGCATATATGCTGTATATATGAAGCATATATGTGCATATAAACTGCATATAGGTTTCATATATGCGCATATATCCTCATATAGGTTCTTTCCATGTGGGAACAGATGTAATGTAGTAGGCTACAACAGATCACTTTCCCATAACGCAACTCCGACTACGGAAGCCTGTTAACTCAAAGGCGCAGTGCTTTCTTGCAATTGGGTCGGTTCATGTTCACACCGTAAACGAACCGTACCAGAGTTCGTTTGGAACCGTACCGAGACCACCTCTTCAGCTGGGTCTCGGTTCGGTTGTTTGGTCCGCACCCGAGTTCGATTGCTGTATTCACACCTCCCCAAAAGGTCCGCACCAAGGGGGGAAACGAACTAGAGTTCGATTCAATCGAACCAAACTAGGCAGGTGTGAATACACCCTTAGACCACATTTTACATTATACTTGTCAATGACGCTTAGGATCTGTTACCCACCAAATAATCCACCATTGTCCTGTCAGTCATCTCTCCTTACTCTCGTCTTGTAAGTGAAATCTGACTCCTGCAGCACTGCCTGCAACTCGGCAGCTTGTGCTTTACATGGAGCATAGCAGCATTTCAGTTTATAATAGCGTCTGTTGTCCATCTGAACTAAATGGTTTTTATTTCTATAAAAAAGCAAAGTGTGCAAGTAATGTAATCGGTGTACGGTCGAACAGTGTAACTGTAACACCAATTCCCGCTGCAAGCCTTAGATATTTATGGACTTTGGTCAAAATATAAAATTCAGGCTTGGTAGGGGAGCGATTGAAGAGATTTTGTAATTCTTAGTCAGAAATCAGACCACCCAAATGTGCTATCTTTGCCCAATTGAGAAGATTTTTTCATTTCTCTTTGAAACTGTAACATCTTGGCTAATCTGTAGAAGAGTTTGAGACATGAGGGCAAAAGGTGCTCCCTAAATTTCAACCGACCACTACAGGTAGAAACATTCTCTTCATCTATTCTGCTGTGTTTGTTGAAACATTTCAGACTTAAAGATATATATATAAAAAAAAATCCTAACAAAAGGATTAGTGGTTCTGGTGGGAACAAAACTCAACCCTTTATTCATAAGACTTACTTCATGAGGTTTGAGTTCTTTGCTAGTGAGGATGAAGATCAAGTTGTCCTTGTTTGGCATGCACCCACTTCTGAGTTGGTTGTGATGTTCCTCCTCTTACCAGCCCGTTTAACCCAACGGGTCGTCTTCATCGCAGTTGGTAATGGAGTGTGATTCTTAATGATTGTCTGTGTCTCTTGAATGATCATTTTTTTTAAATCCAAGTATGAAATATGTGAGAGATTTCATCTTGAAAATGGACCTTGCGTGATAAGCCATGGATATACTTTTTTTGTAGTTGATGGTGTCTCTTGAAAACTTTTGTTGTAGGTCTTTCTTGAATTCCAACATGGATGAATTAAGAAGTGTTGCTTGTTGTTTATAATCAGCTTCAATGGAAGAAATAATTGAGGTTGTGGTTTCAGCAATTTCTTCTTTTATCTTAGTTCTTTCTGTGTGTATTCAACAACTAAGAGGATGAGATCTAAAGAAGCTTTATTCATTACACACCATCTTTTACAAAATTCTGAATCTTCTACTTTAAATTTTTGGAGACTTTTGAATCCCAAGACCCCTGGGAATCCTGCTAACACTCCAATATTCATTAGTTGTGCCATGGAAGAGTAAGATAATGCAAAAGTAAAAAAATAAAGATATTTATTTTTGATAGACCCTTTTTTGTTCTGAATAAATTTTCCAGTGTGCTGTGTCTTTAGAAATTAAAATACTGTTGTTTGTTTTGTGCCTCCTGTGAAACTGTTCATTGTGTAAATTAACTGTTACTTCCTGTTCAAATAATCCCTTAGTATTGCGATTATGATGTACCTGGCTGAGAAGTTCCACACTCCGGACCACTGGTACCCAGCTGACTTGCAAAAGCGTGCTAGAGTAAATGAATATCTATCATGGCAACACTCTGCCATACGAATACATGGATCCAGGATACTCTGGTTCAACGTGAGTGAAGCGTATTTGTTCTCATTCGAAGGCACTAGTGAACAGAACAGTGCTTAGATTTCAGCAAATCCCTTGTTGATGGCTGACTCCCAATAGCTCTGTGACTTTGGGATTGAAACCTAATGTTTAGAATTGATAATCGGCTAACTGCTAGCTTTTTGATTGTTATTTGTTAATGGAACTAAATTGTTTTCTTGTATTGCTGTAGCTTTTGATCCCAAAAGCAATGGGAGTTGAGGTCCCTAAAGAAAAGATAGACAATGCAGTAGAGAATCTTGACGGATCACTGAAACTTTTTGAGGAGAAGTTCCTGCAAGACAAGAAGTTCATTGTTGGTGATCAGATCTCATTGGCTGACCTGGTTGCTATTGTGGAAATCATGCAGGTATCCATTCAATTCAAGATCAAGCAAAATAATAACCTGAGAATTTAGGGGGGATAATATCTGACACAATATTCATATAACACCTTGTCATTTCTGATGGTTTGTTTCAGCCTTTAGGTGCTGGTATGGATGTGTTTGAGAACAGACCCAAGCTCAAGGCATGGAAGGACAGAGTCAGAGAAGAAATTGGGGCTGAGCTGTTTGATGAGGCCCACCAGGCACTCCTCTCTCTCCAGGAGGAAGTGAAAACCATGGATCCCAAAAAGATGGACCCATTAAAACCCAAAGTTTTGAAATATTTCCTCTCATAAACAAACATGGTTGGTTAAAACAGACAGTTATTCATGAAATTATACAAAACATACTTTATAATTTTCTCAGTAATTCCATATACTTTCCATTTTGATTAACCACTAATAATGAAATGAGCTTTTATTAAATTTTATGACATAAACATTAATGTTTGTCATATGATTGTCTTTGTGTAGAATTTACCTCATAAAAAGAAGCAAACTGTGAAATCGCATGTTTCCAGCTGTGTTTACTCTCAAATTCTGAATTGGTGCACTCTCTGTGACCTAATGTTTAAAAAAAACTAGGCGACACTCAATATAGCATTGTTCCAGAAAATCACTAAACACTCATGGGAAAGAGCTGGGAGGGAATGTTTCCTCCCTGAGTGTTTATGGAATGTAATCAGATATTATGCGATTTCCTGCACCATATACTCTGCACGGATAGCACTTTTTTGTTAATTTCTTGTGGAGAAAAATGTAGTCCGATTTTTTTCCTATAAATCTCTCAAATATTGTCGATAAAGTTATCTTTCTTTACCAGTCTCTGTCTGTTTATTTTACCTTCATGTGGATAAAAAGAGGGTAGGCTATATTTAGTAAAAGGGGGAGGGGGGTTGGGGAGGAAATGTGTCCGATTTTTTCCCCTATAAATCTCCCCAATATTGTAAATGAATATATATTTCGTCACTAGACTGCTGTTTACCTTTCTCTCTACAAGAAAAAAGCATTTTATAAAGTTAGTTTATTTTTTTCAACAAACAAAATTTCAGTCTGTTTCTCACCTAAACAAAGTTTACAAAATAGAATCTACAAAATGTGCCTAATACAAATGAAGGGTTGAATATTTCTTTACAGTTGTGCACTTCAGTAAATAATGTGAGAGCTCAGTGGTATTTGAAAACCTTATGGAAGACTTAGAATTTTAATTATTAAAGGAGCTGCATGTAAGAAATTTATTTCAATTAATCATAAAATGGCCCTGAAATGTCACTAGACATTAAGAAATCATGTACATTTCAAATACTTATATCACTGACAACAGTAGTCTGGCCAGGATATTGTCATTTAAAAAGTGCAGTTGCAGCCCTCAACTGATGTTGATGTTGTCATGTTGTGTTTTGGTCTGATGCTCCACCCTCCACCTATCTACCAATCACAAAGTCAGTAGTGTTGCGGCATCCGGGTTGCCAGCTCTGCTCTAGTTACCATAGCTGCAGCTCGTCACGTTCCTGCTGGATCCTGCAGCCGATCTGGCAACCTCGAGTCAGGGAGGAGGGGGAGGGGATACACCACTCTACAGTAATTTGAAAGTGATTGCAGTACTAGTTTTTGGCCACAATCTTACATACAGCTCCTTTAAATGATTTAAATTCAAAATGTTTGGAGGCTTCTGGTTCTGGCTGAGCTAGTTTACTGAAGGAGCTTCTGTCACCGTTCACTTTCATTGTTCAGAAAACAGCAGCGTCATCATCATTTCACTGAACACATCGTGTTAATAATTTACAGGAATCACCTGACAAAACTTCCTTTTTCCCGGGCCAACTATCCTTTAAAACTCTTGAGTAGGAAATGGTCTCTGAAAGTGAAACAATAGCCTACTTCAGCGGGAAAGTGAACCTACTCAACTTGTGACTGAGTTCAACTCCAGAGTAAAGGAAATGTTTTAACTATTTAATCAAGCGATCATAATGAGCGAAAAAGGTTGCTGTGATTCAGTAGGTCAGTGTTTTTTCGACTACTACACGTCAAAACTATTGGTGATAAGGAGCAAGAAAGTGGGAACGCTGAATCGGTTCACTCAAGCTTTAGTCATAGCATATGTCATCGGGTAAGTATTTTATACTCCATTCCTTATTAAAAATAAATTATATCATTTAAAAACGCCCTTATTTGGGTACAGGTATGTGTGTGTTCTCAAGAAAGGCTACCAGGACACGGACACCGTCCTCAGCTCGGTCACGACCAAAGTGAAAGGCATTGCTCTAACAAACACCACTGAATTGGGCGAACGGATCTGGGATGTGGCTGACTACATCATCCCACCTCAGGTAGTCCGTCGATTTGACAAAGAGGAGGTACAGGCTTGACAATTTACATGTCCACTGACGACCCCTCTCACTCACTGGTGCCACCACCACCACCACCTTCATGGGTTACAAACCTGGTTAATCGCACCTGCATGCTGTATTCACTGTTTAGGGGCTGTTAGGGCTGTTTTCAATCTTTGAAAATTGATACACAGTATGTTTTTCATTGTGATGTATTTGAACAATAATACATGTTATGTGTGACAAGTTCACTTTAATTATCTTAAATGGTTTTCAACCTTAGCTTTATGTCATTTAGACTAATATTCCAAGGCCCTCAACTCAGGCTATGCTGACATTTTTAAAAATGTATTTCTTTTTCGTTTCATAAGACAAACTAGCACTGTCAATACATAAAAATAAATAAATTAACACAAGTAATTTCACTTGGTTGCTTTTTAAGGTCAGAAAACTTTTATGCAAAACAGCAAAACTTGTACTCAATAGTCAATACTCACACCTCAGCTAGCATTTAATTTAGTAAATATGTTGTGTTGAAGAGTATAAAACCCACAACATTTCCCTATTCAAATGAATTTGCCAACGGTATGCTATAGTAAATAATGTCAAGTTAGAGCAAAGTGTGCTGAGTAAATATATTAAAACATCTTGTGGCCCCTTTTCAAATTCAAGTTTGAAAAATACTCTGTTTTCGAAGTATCCACTTTTTTTTATTTTCTTCATTTAATCAAAACTGCACAACAGACCATACTCTTTGCTAATAGCAGTGATTTAGCAGTTTACACAGTCTTAAAGAAAATGGAAAAGTGTTCATGCCATCTGGGCATTGTTCAGTTATGAGGAAGTATATATTTTTCGATATTACTTGAAAACACGTGCTTTTGAATGTTTCAGGAGGATGGCTCATTCTTTGTGCTGACCAACATGATTATTACCCCTAACCAAACACAGTCCAAATGTGCAGAGGTGAGACATTATGGGAGATTTGCCGTCCCTTTTGTAACTTAATGAAATGTAAAACAAAGCTTACTGGCTGAAATCAAATGTCAAAAAGATATTTATTTTCATATTTCATTTAACAATCTTACAATAAAATCTTAAGTAAAATGAAAATAAATCTTAGTAAAATGAAATATTTAATATAAAATTATAATATAAAAAAGCGCAATTAAATAATAGAAAAAATATAAGATGGTCTAATATATTAGAAAATATAGCTTTTTTTTTACATTCAAATGTAATTTCTGTATCATGTATCTTAATCTTATTTTAAATGTGTGTGACTTAGAATCCAGATCCAGCATCCATATGCACCTCTCACAGGGACTGCAAGAGAGGCTTCAATGACGCTCGTGGGGATGGTATGGCTCAGTATTCACATTATGCATTATGACACTACTGTGACTTGTCATCTGTTTAGACAGCAAGCAGATCATTTTACATAAAACAATGCGTTTAATTCGTTTAATTTTTTCAGGTGTTCGAACAGGCAGATGTGTCAATTACAATGACACAGTGAAGACTTGTGAGGTGCTGTCCTGGTGTCCTTTAGAGAAGATTGTTGACCCCCCAAAGTAAAGTCTCACAAATTAATTATATCAAGATTTTTTAATGTTTTTAAAAACAAGTCTCTAATGCTCAACAAGGCTACATTTATTTGATCAAAAGTTAAAACAGTTATATTGTGAAATAATTTTTTTTAATTTTAATTTTATTTTTTATTTCTATAACAGCAAAGCTCCAGTCTTCAGTGTCACATGATCCTTCGGAAATCATTCTAATATGCTACCTTGGTGCTCAAGAAACATTTCTTATTATTATCAATGTTGAAAACAGTTGTGCTGCTTAATATTTTTGTATAAACCATGAAAAACTACCATTTAAAAGTTTGGGTTAAGTAAGATGATAATTGTGCACTAAATCAGCATTTTAGAATGATTTCTGAAGGAGTATGTTCGTGTCTAATGTTGGTAACGTTGTGTTTTATTTCCCTTCTTGACATCTCAGTCCACCACTTCTGGCAGATGCTGAAAACTTCACTGTGCTCGTCAAGAATAATATTCGATATCCCAAATTTAACTTCAACAAGTAAGCTTTTTAAATGCATTACATTTTTCTACTAGTTGGCTGCAAAATAAAACAATGTAAGCTAATTTATTAACTGAATAAAATGTGCTCCTTTTGTCCTTACAGAAGGAATATCCTACCAAATATAAATGGCTCCTACTTGACACAGTGTGTGTTCAGCCGTAAAACAGACCCTGACTGCCCAATCTTCAGACTCAAAGACATCGTCGGAGAAGCTGATGAGGATTTTCAGACCATGGCTGTCCATGTCAGACACTTGATTTATATTTATCTGCCATTGCTGTTTCAAACTCCTGTTATAAAATGTTTTAATGTCATGCTTGGTGTTTTTCTTTTGTGCACTTTCTTCCTTCTGCGTAGGGGGGCGTGATGGGAGTTCAGATCCGGTGGGATTGTGACCTTGATGTGCCACATAGCTGGTGTGTTCCTCGCTACACTTTCCGCAGACTAGACAACAAAGACCCAGAAAACACTGTGGCACCAGGTTACAACTTCCGGTAAGAGGTGTTTGCAGTTAGTAAAAGTGGTTCTTCAGAGGAAGCTAGGTTGCATTAAATGAGTGTGGTTTGGTCAAATCTCTATAGATTTGCTAAATATTACAAGAACAATGATGGCAAAGAGTCCAGGACACTTATCAAGGGATATGGTATTCGCTTTGATGTCATGGTATTTGGCCAGGTGAGACACTGTGACCTTTTTAATGTTATAAATTAGACTCCTTTTATGCAGGTTAGCATTAAAATGTAGCTGTTTAGAATTAGCGCATACTATTCTTTTGTTTCTACAGGCAGGAAAATTCAATATTGTACCAACACTTCTAAATATAGGTGCAGGCTTGGCCCTTCTAGGCCTTGTAAGTATGTCTGTTACTTACTGCATTACAATAATAATAAAAAATAGAATTATATTAATAAAATCTTTTGTGGTCCATTTCAGGTGAACGTTATATGTGATTGGATCGTCCTGACATGTATGAGAAGAAAGCATCATTACAGAGAGCAGAAGTATACATATGTTGATGACTTTGGACTTGTGAGTATTTATGGCCTCAGTTATCAAATATTTTGGCATCATCTGGTTAACTTTCTATAATTGCTAATTGAAAGTAAGCAGCTCGTGTGCCTCACAAGAAACTAAGATGAGATATTTCTTTCAATTAGTTATCAAATGAAGAAACATAGAAGATCTTCAGGCTACTGATTCTACACCAATTCTATGCAAGTTTCATCATGAAGTGAATGTATTTGCTCGGGTTCTAAATGTTATTCTTAATGGACAATCAGGGAATTTCTGTGAATAAAAAATAAAAATGATCAGTGTGATTTACTTTATGGGGATTTTTGGGGGTGATGTGGGTTCTGTTTGCTTTTAAAAATAAATATAATTATAAAATTAATTTCTAAAATTATTTGCCAATACAAATGGTTTACAACCATTAAACCCTTTGAGGGCCACAGAGTTCTGTAGATTTGTTAAAGGAATTGAGCTCTGTAATTATTAAATGGTAACTAAACTATCTAATCATGTCATTTATTAAAAATATATTTATGTATATTCAGTTTACTGAGGACCCCTAGTGGGGGTTGAGAAGCACTGCGGTAACACTGCATCCAGCAGGGGTCAGTAGAGAAACACACGGTTCCTAGTTCAGGAGGAAGATCGCAGCGACCTTTTTTCCTCACGTTAATGCATGATGGCGGCCGCGTTGAGAGGGAGCCTAGTAACATTGGCCAAGGTGAGTCTTGAAACACGATGCTGACATTTTCTCATAGTTTACACTGAAATATTACTAATGTATGTTTGCGTCACACGGCCAAATACAAAGATTAACTGGGGAATAAACTGCTGTCTGACTGTAGACGTGTTTAAATTCAGATTTGCTTTACACATGACGATGGGGAACGTTACTGGGAAAAATAGTAAAAACAGTTAAATATATCAGATGACAACTCACGGAAGAGGTCCATTAAAACTCGTCTGTACATTATTACTATTTATTTATTATTTTCCATTAGCATTATATAGTACAATTTTAGACACACTGAAGGGTTGTTTAAATAACATTTAAAGGAATAGATCACCCACAAAATTAGAATTATGTCATAAGTTGTTCCAAACATGTATGAATTTCTTCTGTTGAACACAAAAGATATTTTAAAGTATGTTGTTAACTAACCAGACACTTGACGACACCCGTTCCATAGTAGGAAAACTCTCTGGTTACCAATATTCTTTAAAATATCTATCTTCTTTTGTGTCAAAGGCTGTCAACATTTTTGGGAAATGATGCAAGGGGAATGTATTCTCTTAATTAGTTGACTTAAAGCTGCAGTCCGTATCTTTTCCTCTTTGTCGCCATCTCTCTGTTCGAAATCTGTAACTGCAGTGATTCGCGGAATTATTATCTTGACGTGGGTTGTAAATCGGCATGAAACAGCGCGGATGAACACAGTGCTTTGAGGCGAGTGCTGCTGTCAGTCACCGCGCTGTGTGGATGCTGTCATACAGAATCACAGATTCACTTTTTGAAAGTTTGACCAACATAAGAATTTTCATAAGAAAATGTCTTCTGAACAAGTAAGTAAAATCCATTTTTGTTCTGACCAACTAAGGGGGAAAAAGCATTCGACATGATAAGCTTCGTTAGATTTAATCAACGCGATTTACAGCAACCGTGCAAATTATAGCCTACTTTGTTCTCAAATTGTTCATGTTAACAACATCACATCAGCATTGCGTGACTAATGTTAAATTTAATGTGTTTTATGGTTACCTGTGTAGTTCAGAATTCATATTCTCCATAATAGCAAAACGAGAAAGGCACAACAAAGGAAACTCCATAACTGTGTGAATTAAGAAAACGTACTGTTACACGATTAAACTATTGAAATGTCTTACTTGTTCAGCAGAAAAAAGCCGTCTCTTCTTCCGTTTTGAACCCCTTCAAAACACGGAGTTCACGCACTTTTCAAAAGCCCCGCCGATGTTTAAATCCTTGTGTTCGCATGAGACGGTTTCTTTCTCTTTCTCTAGCCACCTTAAATCCGAAGTACGAAGTCTTTTGGGTTTTATAACTGCTGAATCTCCAGTTGACACTGATGATTGTTGTTTGGATCTTTCTGGATGCCATAAGTTTAATTATGTAAAGTGCTGCGAGAAAAGCCTATACATCTAAACATCTCGTCACGCGCAGTATAGCCGGCTAGCCGAAACTCCTTCTTTGTGTGACGTAATGACGCAAAGACATGCTCGAATTTCCCGCGGAAACCCACCAGTACCACTGGAATTAAAATCATTATTACAAGCTAACCGTTTTGAATCTAGCTATGGCAAGCAGATAGTTTTGACCACTGGCAGAATACGTTTTTTTTAATATAATTATTTTGGATTATTTTTAACTTAAAAAAGTTACGGACTGGAGCTTTAAAATGTAAAACATTTTGGCTGATTAATTGGCCTGGGCTTTTAGGATTGAAAGACCTTTTAGAACCATATGGATGGTTCACGCAAATCCATTTTTCAATGACTGAATAGCTCTTTAATTCATTCATGACTGTTAAATTCACTTCAAAAATAACAGCCTGAGCTGTCTGTGATGTCAACCCATAATAGCCCTTGAGCTGTGTTATTTTTGACTCCTCAGGGTCTGAGTGCTGCCCGTTTGCAGCCGTTGTGCGCCCGGTCCCTGAGTTTGACCGGTCAGAATGTTGCCGAGAGTCCCCCGGCACGTGCTGACAGCACCTTCAAGGTCACCATGGTCCCTGGAGATGGAGTTGGACCTGAGCTGATGACTGCTGTCAAAGACGTTTTCAAGGTACTGATGCACTTTCTTAGCCATGTTTTCAAAGACTTGAGGAAACTTTTTAACATCTAACCTTCAGTGGCATTCTTAGCCACCGCCGCCTTCTCAAGGCCCCGATATACTCGCATACCTCGTTTCCACCAAAAAAGAACTGGTTCGGAACTGGTGCTGGTTCAAAGTTGGTTCAACTTGCGAACCTTCTCAGAACCTGTTTGTTTTTTCCACTGACTAGAGAGCCCAGCGAACGACGTTGTTACGTCACTGTGTATGTCGCCATACGTCTTAGCTTTCCCATTTCCGTCGTGTTGTTGTTCACAGTAACCCACCCCCAGCCCCCGACGTAAGCATGACGTGGTAAAAGAACGGTTCTAGTCCAGCAAAGAGTTGGTGCCGCTTTGGAACCAATTTTCCTGGCTGAGAACCGGTTCTTTGGCTGTCGAAACACAAAGAACTGGTTCGCGAGTAGGCACCGGCTCCGAACCGGCTCTCAAAAAGGGGCAATAGTGAAGTTCTTTCATCCTTAACTTAGGGGTAGAAAGAAGTTTGAATTACCTTTGCAGCAGTACACTGTGTAGACTTGCATCTATGCTTGTTTCCAATGCCCTTTTCACTTCACCCTCTAGGCAGCTGATGTTCCTGTGGAGTTTGAGGAGTTTCATCTGAGCGAGGTGCAGAACATGGCCAGTGAGGGGAAACTGGAAGAGGTGCTGTCCTCCATGAAAAACAACAGAGTTGCCATCAAAGGTAACGTTTCTAACAGCTGATCACATTTTAATATAGTGGCTTTCAATTCAACATGTTAAACTAGTGCTAGCTGATTTATATATTGATGTACTGACATACAGTATACTAATTTGGCACTTAAAATAAATGTTTTAATTCTCTCTGTGCTTAGGAAAGATTCACACTCCTATGGAGTACAAGGGTGAACTGGCATCATATGAGATGAGACTGAGGTACTTCTTTGACATATTATCATGGCTGCTTTCTACTACTCGTGGTTCTCCTGCTAGTTTTTGATTAATTGGTTATTTCTTGTGTTATAATGTACAGGAGAAAGCTGGACCTGTTTGCCAATGTGGTTCATGTGAACAGCCTGCCTGGTTACAGCACCCGCCACAATAACCTGGATCTGGTCATCATCCGGGAGCAGACAGAGGGAGAATACAGCTCTCTGGAGCATGAGGTATCATAATTTATTTCTTTTAAAGGCATTTAAGTAAGGAAGAATAGATGAAGCGACCGGTGTGGTAATACAGCAAAAACGCAATGCGGATTTCATGAATAAAACTTTTAAGCCAATTGTCCTCAGTGAACTAGACGGTCCTAGTCGCATATTGGACTGAAAGATTCAACAGATCTGGAAGGAAAAGAACATTATCGCATCATAATGTTCGTAATCAGTGATTTAAATTAAGGTCTGCTCTTCACACAGAGCTGTCATATTGCTTTGGAAAATAACACGCATCATATGAGCTACTTTTATCGTGCTTTTTGGTATTTTGTTTTTGTTGACGGGTGTGGTTACTATCCTGGTAAGTTAAAAAGTCAGAAATTCTCCTTTTTGTGTTTTACAAGAAATAATACAGGGGGTTAGAACAACATGAGGGTGACCACATTTCTCCCAACAAAATTATATAATTTAATAGACTTTTTTTTTTAATATTGAAGTTGTCATAGATTTTAATATAAACTCCTTTCTATCTATTTTGCTTTTAACATAAATATGAGGTCTTTGTATTGTGCCTTTACAAAACAGTCTCAGAAAAAGTTTTTTGAAAGAAGTGTCTTATGCTGCATTTGTTTGATCAAAAACACAATAAATTTTAATATTTCACAATATTGAATATTACACATTATAAAACGGTTAGTTCCAATCCTCGATTCTGATTGGTCAATAGCTTATTCATGATAAAACACGGCTATGACCGCTTCACCCAACGGTTCTATTTATCACTGCGCAACACGCCCTTCAGCCGTTACTTATTCACGATACAGAACAGCCTCTCGTACCTTATTGCTTACATATTACTCCATTCTTCAGTGTCTCATGATCCAACAGAAATCATTCTGATGTGGTTGGTCGGCAAGTGAATTCACACTTCCAAAACAGTTGTGCTGCTTAATATTTTTGTGGAAACTAATTTTTATTTTCAGGACTTTTTAATGAATAGAAAGAACAGCATTTATTTGCAATAGAAATTATGAATGTCCTTACTGAAACTTTTGATAATTGAAAGCATGCTTGCAGAATAAAAGTATTGATTTTTTAAAAAGATAATATACCTCTGTATCATGAGCACCTCTGTGTTTGCAGAGTGTTTCAGGAGTGGTTGAGTGCTTAAAGATCATCACCAGGGAGAAATCTCGCCGCATCGCTAAATTTGCATTCGACTATGCCACCAAGAAGGGCCGCAGCAAAGTGACCGCTGTCCACAAGGCAAACATTATGTAAGTGTGATGGGATATTTCTGCCCATACAGTTTTGGAAGCTCAATGCATAGACTCACTCGCCTTGGATTATCTCCACAGGAAGCTTGCGGATGGTCTCTTCCTACAGAGCTGTGCAGAGTTGGCTGAACTTTACCCCAAGATTAAATACGAAACCATCATCATTGATAACTGCTGCATGCAGGTATTATTTCCGATCTTTTATTGGTGGCTGGCAATGAGGACGGCCTATAAATATAGTTACCATATTGGTTCTGTGTCCCACAGCTGGTGCAGAATCCATATCAGTTTGATGTGCTAGTGATGCCTAATCTCTACGGCAACATCATCGATAACCTGGCGGCAGGGCTGGTGGGCGGAGCCGGCGTAGTTCCAGGCGAGAGTTACAGCGCAGAATATGCTGTGTTTGAAACGGTTGGTCTAAAGCTAAATTGTTTTTCATACCTTCTTCATTCATTATACATAAACAGTTTTAGACTCATGAATTGCTTTGCAGCATGTGATTTTTTTTTTTTTACAGTTATTCTTGCATTCCATTTCAGGGTGCCAGACATCCCTTTGCTCAGGCTGTCGGCAGGAATATCGCAAACCCCACCGCTATGCTCCTCAGTGCATCGAACATGCTGAGACACCTCAAGTGAGTTTCCCACTGATATTCCATATTTACTTTTTCACCATCATATCTTATGTTTTTAAGCTTAACATTTTTACCTTTTAATCTCTGTTTTGACTTTCTATTCATGTTAAAGGGTTTTCGGGTCTAATGTGGGCTTATTTGTTATCTGAATTTACACTTTACATCATGATTTATCTTGCTGTTGTATATACACTACTGGTCAAAAGTGGTTTTTTTATTTATAATTTTATATTCACCAAGGCTGCATGTATTTTATTAAAAAAAATACAGTTCAACTAGTTATTAGCTAAATATTATTTCAATTTAAAATAACTATGAAATATCATTTTTAAAATGTAATTTATTCCTGTGATGGCAAAGCTGAATTTTCAGCATCATTACTCCAGTCTTCAGTGTCACTCGATCCTTTAGAAATCATTCTAATATGCTGATTTGGTGCAAACATTTCTTATAATCAATGTGAAAGTTTTTGCTGCTTCGTATTTTTGTGGATACCATGAGTTGAGTGGTTTATTTTTCTTTCAGCCTTGAGTATCATTCAAACATGGTGTCTGAGGCTGTCAAGAAAGTCATTAAGCAGGGCAAGGTAAGAAGTGATTGTTTGTTTGTGTGTTCATGTATAAAATGGGAGAGAATGGTGTGTTGTGTGACTGATAGAACTATATGATAGAACTCTATATGTATCTCTGTATTGTGTAGAGAATATGATCGTGTAAGTGCAAGTGTTGCAATGGTTTTCAAGTTCAAGATGCAACATTTGTTGTCGATGGATGTTTTACATGCAAGTCTATATAGTCCTGGTGGCACTGGTTTTCATCCTAATTGGTGGGTTTCCCTTTGCGAATGGCTTTGGAGTAATGACCCTACCCACAACACACCCTCTTTGTTTTTTGGTTTGTTTTGTGGGTTGAGGTTCTGCTTACTATCAGGCTCACTAACTTCGCCTTTTCTTATATTTTATATTTTATTATTCTCATCTTATTTAAAGACCTTATTTTAAGACTTTCAAAATGAATCCATTCCAGCCTCTTTCTTAACAGCAAATAAAAAAATAAATGAAATGCTTTACAATAAGGTCTCAGTTGTTGCCATTAGTTAAGGGCGTTAATCAACATTAACATTTATAAGCTGTTCATGTTTGTTGATCACTTTATTTTACATGTGCATAAGCAATGCTTCTATCGCTTGTTTCTGCTGCTTCTTTTTGTCTGGAGATTCTGTATCTTTCAGAAGATGCGTAATCGCGCCCCCTACCGGATAACAGTGAAAAGCATGGATTGCCTGAAAATTCCGTCAATTGCGTGGAAAGGGTTAATACTTCTGCAGCTTTTTTAAAGCTTAATGTTAATTTCAACATTTACTAACACATTTTAAAAATCTAAAGTTAAATCTGTTAATATTTGTAAATTAATAATGAACGGTTCTATTTTTAACATTAATAAAGATGAATAAATGCTGTAAAAAATATATTGCGACACTGAGAACCACTGCCTTTTCTTTTCTTTTTTGAATTGGCTTTACAGGGACTTTAAACAAATAACGTTCAAGCTTCAGTACAACTGAAATCATTTGTTTTGCTGTCGCTAGTCAAAGCAGGTGATATCTGTAATTGAGAGCATTTTCAGTAAATGTACATCTGCTAGATAATTGTTAATTTTAGAAGGGCACTAAGACAGGAACTAAAAGCCACAAAATATAAATTTTGATTTAATGTGGTCTTTAAAGGGTAACTAAACCCCTGGTCAGAGCCTGACTCCACCCACTGGCGATATTTGAAAAATGCTGAAAAAGTGGGCGGAGCCCAGCGGAGATAGAGGGGATGAACGGATACTCTATCCTGATCGTTTTCAATACTCGCAATTCCAACTCCTGACTCGCTACAGTGGTTTTGACGAAACAAGATGGTTTTTATACTGCCATGGACGTGGTAGCTCGTACCAAGGGCGTGGTAAGCTGAAACCTGCTTACGTCAGCTCTCACCGCTACCGTCACGAACTACCGCAAACATCCAATAGGAAAATTAAACTGCAGTAGCCACCGTTCAACCTGAAGAGGGCAGCACTCAGACGTTTTTACACCATATATTGCAGAATTAAAACACTTTATACCCAAATGTCAAAAAAGTTACTCGAATCAATGAACAGCACTAATAAAGTTGGTTAAAAAAGTTGGTTTAGTTACCCTTTAATCCATTACTTTCATACATGAAATACTCGGACATGGATGTCCTCTATGGATACATTCAGCCCCAGCTTTGGCTGTTTTTTTTCCTCCTTAAAAGCTGTCTTACAGTCCTTCAAGTTTGTGCTTGTTGTCCATAAATTCTGATGTGGTCTTCACCTCCCCTTTCTCCACCTTTCTTCCTCTGTCGTCACAACCTGTTCTGGGTGTATGTGACTGTCTGTCTCTGTGTGTGTGTGTCCCAGGTGAGGACGCGAGACCTAGGGGGTTACAGCACCACTAGTGACTTTGTCAGTGCGATTGTGGCCAACCTGAGTCATCGGACTGTTTGAAGATGCTTGCCAAACCCAATACCTATCTCGGATCCCCTATATTTGCCACATTTCCCTCCCCTTTTCCCTCCCAATGAAAGTCTCTCACTTTCATTGTCTCTTATCATTTTTTTTTTTTGACTGATTAATGAATGCATTTTTGTTTTGTTTTTATTGCTGTTGTTGTTGTTTTCCCCCCTTAATGTTATGTATTCATGTACATTTTAGGGATGCACGATGATATCGGGACAACATCGGTATCGGCCGATAAAAGCTTAAAATGACCATCATCGGCATCGGCCGATATGAATATTTCTGCCGATGAGCCTTGCCGATAGGGTGGCGTGTTTCCTATGCGCACGTGACGACCGTGAACGAAGCATGAGCGCCAGCAACTTAAACTTCCAACTAGGGGTCTGCGTCTCACGCGGTTTTTGATCGTGGACGATTAAAATGTCTCCACGATCTGCTTTTGAAGAAAAATCATAGTGCATTCTATCAGTTCAATTCTGGCGCCTTCATCTCAACATACTGTACAACGCGACGTACATTCACATCACATCATATGTAAACGCAGAGGTAGAGTTACACACGGGACACTGCAATTCACAAAAGTTCATTATTTACATGTGCGTCAAAGTCTTGCTAGTTAAACATGTCATTCACGTGCTGATGCGCTGTTCTAACATCCGCTTTTCTGAGCGCGTACACCCGACGCTCACAGGAACTAAAGCCTGTCACAGCGCCTGCATACTGGACTAATCTTTCTAGTCTTATTGCGCTGATACTGTCAAATACACACAAGGTTTACATAAACAAAGTTGGTTATGTCTAAAGTGAAAGCAAACAGAGAAAATCTGCTTGTCAAATGCGTGTATATTAGACGCGTCGCGTGCAGTTCTTAAAGAGACAGTAATAATATGCTGCCGCTTGTCCTTAAAGAGATACTGCACCCAGAAATAAAAATTCTGTCATTATTTACTCACTCTAATGTTGTTCCAAACCTGTATTCATTTCTTTCTTGTGCTTAAAGGTGCTCTATGGAACTTTTAGCGGCCTCTAGTGGTGATGTTTCAGATTGCAACAAGAGCGCTCGTGCTCGTGTGCGTGTGCGATCTCAGGAGCGAGCATTCACTTCCGGCCACACGGAGACTTTCAACGCAACGGCGAAAGCATCACACAACATGCTGGAAACTCGTGTAAACTCTGCAACGTTACAATAATAGGCTACTTTTATCAGCTTGACGTTGAACTAATGCTCCATGCTCGTACCATGATAACGTTACATTGACTGCATGTAGCCGACATGTGATGTTATCTAGCATAGATACCTACGGCATTTCACTAACTATTCGTGTATCTTTCACAATCAACAATGTCAACATAGGTGAATGTATAATGTCAGTGTAACAGTAAGACAGTAGGAAGTAACATTACTGTACTGAACGTGTCTGGAAATGTTTATTATAAACAATATGATAGTGGGATGAATTACGTTATAGCGTAACGATCTATAACGTAGATCTAGTACATAAAACAAGTATCCTAAAGCACCTTTTCTTATCCTGGAAGGCTGGAACAGTCTTTTGTATTCATTCCATGTCTCATGTAGTTTACCTTGCTATTTCATTTGAGTTTACTAATAATTCAAAAGCTCTGCCTATGTTGATCCGTGTTTTCGTCCTGAGTCGATCAGAATCACGTTTGGCCTGACGAGCTTCAGCAGATAAAACTTTGTTTTGTTTTTTATATTTATGTGGAGTTAGAGTTGGAGTGTATGTTGTGCTGGAGGCAGGTCGTTTTTGAGTGTTATCAGACTCCATGTCGTCAGCTGCAGTGCCGTCGGTCGCATAGACTGTATATAAGGAGAGAGGCTCGGGAGCGCGCATGCACGTCACATCCGATGGATTTCGCGGTAAATCCGACCCGGAGACTTCACATAGAAATATGAATATTGGCCTTCAGAGGTAATAGCAGAACCCGACAAGTGGATCATTGTAATGTGTGATTACAACCCCTTCACACACAGGCAATAAAAAAGGATTCATTTTAGAAGAAAAGTTCCATATAGCACCTTTAAATATACTATGGAAGTCACTGGAGTACAGCAACTGTTTGGTTAGCCACATTCTTCCAAATAACTTTTATTTTCAACAGAAGAGAGAAACTTGAGAGAGTAAATGATGACAATTAAAATTTTTGGGAGAACTATCCCTTTAATGTTAATAAAACAAAACACAGAGGAAATCACTCACTGCTCTTGACTGAGAACTTTAATAGAAGCTTTAATAAGCTTTTTTTGCACTTAAAAAAACCCCAAATATATCGGCATCGGGCAAAATTAGTTTGAAAATATCGGCATATCGAATATCGGCCAAAATCCAATACCGTGCATCCCTAGTACATTTAATTTCATTTATGTTTTTCACTGTATGCATCTTTAACCAGAATCACACTTGCATTTAAAAGTTTGGGGTCTGTAATATTTGAAATGATAAAAACAGGATATGCTCACCAAAAGTGCATTTATTTGATCAGAAAATACAGTAAAATCAGTAATATTATCTTAATACCATGACGATCTTAATACCATGACGGTCTAAAATAACCTTTTTATTTTAATATTTAAAATTTTAATTTCTAGATGGCAAAGCGAAATGTCACACGATCCTTCAGAAATCATTCTAATATTTGGTGCTCAGGAAACATTTCTTATTATCATTGCTGTACTGCTTAATATTTCTGTAGAAATTGAGATGCATTTCGATTTTCTTCCAGTAATATTTGATGAAAAGTAAGTTTAAAAGAACACCATTTATTTGAAAAGGAAATCTTTTGTTACATTATGAATGTCTTTACTGTCACTTTTGATCAAATTAATGTGTCCTTGCTGAATAAAAGTGTTAACCCCCAAACACACACACTTTTGAACTAGTGCATGTCTGACATCAATTTACTGCACTACTTTGTTCACTCCAGTTTTAAGTTTTAATGGAAGTTTTAGTTCATCCTAAGCTGTACGTGCTCTGCTGTTTCTGTAATGCTCAGTTTTATTCCTGCTTTTATATCTTCTCTGTTTGGGGCTGGTCCTCGTCGATTTGCCTTTGTGGTTCCAGTACCTCAGGGAATTTGATTATCAAGTTCTCAAAGGCCATTTGGCATATTGAGACGGAAGTTCCAGTGTGATTGTTTTTGCCCTTCCACTGTTACTAATGCAAACATCACAAATCAAATCTGCTGCCGTCATAAGTCAGATAGACAATTATTGGTTTAGTTTGCTGATGCAAATGTTCTGGACAGAAAGTCTGTGCCGTGCCATTGCTGACTAACTGACTGACTGATATCAATGACCAATGATATCACTGCCTCAGTCATTATGGTACTGCTTTAATGTTTCTAAGCTCAGCACCTGCAGTATTGATATTTTATAGTGTATCTTATGATATTGATGTTTTATAGTATATCTTATGGTGTTTGGGAAGGTGGAAACAACACATTTCAATTTTACCGATTTTTCAAGGTTTATTCGTGCCATTGATTAACTGACTAATGCTTTGTCAAATTAATTTTTTCAATGCCAAAAAAATAAATATGTAAAACCAAAAGGATTGAAAGTGTCATTTTGTAGTCACTTGTATTGTGTGGATTGCTCGCAGTGTTTGAAGACCTTCATCCCCATTTAACATCTTGTTTTACCATCACAAACTGGAAGTCAAAAGAACCGATATAGCCGGGATGTGCTGAATGTCTGAGGAGTGTGTTTGCGAGAGAAACTGTTAGATACTGATGTATTTATTTGGTACACCTCTCAATGCAAACAGACAACAAAATATATTTTATTGCTGTCTTTGGTGTAGGTTCGCACATCAGACCTGGGAGGCTACGCGTCAAGCGATGAGTTCACCAGGGCCGTCATCGCTAATCTGGCTGTCTAAACCAATCCACAGCGCTGGTTCTCCAGTATCAAAAGTCTTTTGGTCCAACATTTCTCATTTTCCCAGCTCAAGCCTTGCTAGTGGCCTAACATTTCAGACTATCACATAGTCTACAACAGAGCACAAGTGTTGTAACTGTAAGATTCATATTGTCTCTGGCCAGAACCACTGACATTCCAGACTATTACAGAATGACTGGATTGCTTTATGATGCTGCTTAAGAAACTAATATTTATTCAGCTATTTATTATTTCATTGCAATTGCTACAAGTTCATTACAATTAATAAACATTATAATATAGTGGCAAGTGTGTGGTCTTTTTCAGGAATTTACAGTAAATAAGTACTCTATTTGCTAAATGATGCTACTGGTACAATATCCATGTTATGTTTACATGGTTGAATTATGTGGGGGAAAACTGAAATATTATGTGTGTGTATCATTGTATATAATATATAATAATGTACCTTTGTACTATAGTACAAAAAAGTAACAATGAACTAAATATTTTACACCTATTTATAAATAATTTTTTCACAGTATAAATTGGGTTTTTATACATGAAAGTGTATCTGCCTTTTAAATTTCAAGAGGCTAGACACATTTCTAGAATCTAGAATAATTCTCCAGTTGTGCTGTTCTCCGACCACTCTCCATGCAATACCACAACCAGCCGGAGGGAAGCGCATTGCGCCTAATCGCTGCGCATCCGCGCATTCCCCTTTCCTGGAAGCAAGTCGTCCGCCAGATGTCGCGACGTCTCTGCGTGGGAAGAGGAGAGGAGGGGCTTGGCCTGGGAATCCGCTGCTTCCCATTCCAGGCGCAGGGGCACAACATGGCGGATTAGGAGGCGACCGACGCGCCCGGATACAGCGAACAAATCGTGGGATACCGATTCCCCGTGTCGTGGAGAGGGCAGGAATATAGGCTTTTCGGAAAGCTGACGCACACCTTTAAGAATTTCCGAGACATGCATTTTGGATACCAGTAAGCGCCTTCGCTGCTTTGCCCAACTCCAAATTGGCTGTCTGTCCGAGATCATTCCTATCACCCAGGCCCCCCACCCCGAACACACTCTCGGTTCCTGGGGTGTGGAGACAGGGGCCGGGGAAGTGGAAAACAATCGCACTTTATCTGGAACACCGGGCTCCGTGGTGCGGGACAGGGCTGTCAAGGTGAGTTACATCGCTGCTTCTCTGAGTATATTAACAGCGCAAACTTCTGTTCATCGCCTCAGTTTGTCTGATATTTATCCCTTGTGTCACTCAGGTTTTGTTACGTTAGTGGGTCGTCTAGCCAAAGAAAGCAAAGCCCTTTGTGGCACATCCGAGACCCAGACGCAGATTTATGTAATGTTTACGCACCGCGCAAGGATGTTTTGGGAGCGCACCCAATAATGTTTGAAGCAACGCGAACATTTGCCGAACTAGCTGGGAGGCAAGGAGGGAAAAATGAGGGGGTGGGGGGTCTGCCGAGAAAAGGAGGGGGAGAGGAAGAGAGAGAGAGACACGCGTAGCTTTTAGTGGAAGTCAGGCAGATTGTGCGCCAGAACGCAGGCGTGATTTCGGACTGGATACAATGAAACGTCATTAAAAGATTCTTCACTTGATAGTGTCGATGTTAATGGTTTAAGACTGGATAGGTTGCGAAAATATTAGTGATTTCTGACTAGAAAATTGTTACTTTTAATGGTTGATGGACAATTGTAGCAGTCTTTATGGTTTATGACTTGATGCATTGTAGCAACGTGAATGGTTCTGAATTTGATATATTGCAGCAAAGTAAATGATTTAGGCTGGTTTCATAAAAAAAACGATTAATGTTTCTGGATAGTGTACCAATATTAATCATTTCTAACGGTATAAACAGTAACAGTATAAATGATTTAGGACTCGGCACACAGTAACCCAGTAATATTGATGGTTCTTCTAGACCGGTTAAATAGTTCCAATATTAATGCTTCCAGACTGAATATTAAACCAGTATTCAGTATATCTGACTGGACACATTACAGCAATATAAATAATTGCTGACTGGAATAGGCTACATCGTTTCACTATCAATATTTTGTATATTCTAATAATATTAATCTCAGATACAGTGTAGAAATGAACTAAACTCCTAAATAAATTATGACTAGATGCATTGTAACAATATGAACCATTTCATTGAAGGTTATCTATTAATAATAGGCTAATAAATAACCATCAGTGAAACTGTTAGTCCCAGACCGGATACATTGTAGCTTTGTAAATGTTTTCTGACTGGATATATTGTTGCAATATCAATATATATATAGGCCTATAGATATGTTTTTTTTTTTACTGGATGTATTATAATTTATTTCAGAAATTATTTAAATTGCTACAATGTACTACTAATACCCTACATTGTAGTAATTCAAATAATTTCTGAAATAAATTCTGACTGGATGCATTGTAGTAATATGAATGATTTCTTAATTGATATATTGTAGCAGTTTGAATGTTTCTGAACTGGGTACATTCCTGTCATATTAATTGTTATTTCAAAAGTATGCATTCTGGTCTCAGACTGGATATATTTAAGCAATATAAATAAAAATTCTGACTGGTTAAATTTTTAGAATATGTACAATTTCTGACTGGATTTTTTTTTAACTATGGTTCCCGACTGAATACATTGCAGCTATGCATATGTTATCTGACTGGATACATTGTAGCAATAGTAATCATCCCAGACTGGATACATTCTAACCATTGTAACAATAACGAATGGGAAGACAATGGCAGTCCAGTGCGTTCGCGTCACGCGCTGTAAGTCAACATATTGATCAGCGCTTTGTCGCTACATGTTTTTAAAGTAAGTGTGTGTGTGTGTGTGTGTGTGTGTGTGTGTGTGTGTCCAGGTCCAGGTCCAGGTCCAGGGGAGGTGGTCACGCGAGGGAGTTGGTAGATTGTATCTCACGAACACAGGAATTATGTCGCTTAGACGTCCTGTCAAGTGCGCTATATTCATTGTCTGCACTTAGGTGAGAGTTGCCATTCTAATTCGCCCTTTTCTGCGTTATAAATAGGAGTTTTACTTCTATTCGACTGTAGTTTGCGCGCCACTGCAGTGCTAGCATGCCTAGCTAGGGAATACTGGATTGAGAATTCAACTATCTTTGGCCTCTGCTACTTGATACGTTTGTGTCTTGTGTGAATGGTCATAATATAATATGTCAAAGAAAATATGGAGCATGTAAGACTGTTTCTATATTGTTTGTTCACCTTTTGAAGGTGTGAGAACTAGGCCTAACTAAAATAATTTAGGTTCCCCCTCTCTGCTGCACTCATGGTTAGCTGATGCAGTTTACCTCATATGACACGTTATGTATTTTACTATCCACACATGGAAGACTGTTGAATGATGTATCTTGACGCATTGATATTGAGACTATAGTCAAGTCACTTTCAATATCTAGCTGTTAATTCCATTCAAATAGTATCACAACTGTTTCACTGTAATAAACAGGAAAAAACAGCTTCAGTTTTAGCTGTAAAGCAGCTCAGCTACAGAAGACATTGGTGTCATTTTTCAGCTCAATTCAGATTCAGTGTTGGTTCAATAATAACAGTCAGTGTTGCAAAGTTTATCAATTATGAAACAACTTCCATTTGAATTATAAAGCAACTCTACAGAACACGTCATTATTCAGCTCAATGTTGATTCAGTTCAATGTGTCTATTGCAAAGTTCAATTATGAAATGACAACAGCTCAGTCTCAGCTCATTATCCAGCTCAGTTCAGATCAAGTTTTGCAATCTCCTCTGAGAGTGTCAGTACAGTCAGATCCATAATATTTTCTCAATATTAGTTGTCTTTTATTTGAGCAAGCCAAATGTGACAATGGCAAGGAAACCAAAACTTCGCCGAATTGGAAGAACATATTTTGTACATTTGGTTCTCTGCATGCTTAACAATTCAGATAGTGTCATTGTACATTTGATGTGTTGGTCTATTCTTACCCTGCTTGGGTTTTTCTATCGACTTGTCCTGTTTGGACCTGTTATTACTTCTCTCTGCAATCCATGAGGTTATGAAATAGACCTGCACTTTTGGCAACTGGAGATGACACCCTGTAGTTCTCCCACAGCTTAACCTTTGCGATGATCCAACCATCTTGGGTAGCTAGATGGCTTTACGGATCATGTGTGGGTTTTTGTAATGTAATTAGGCATTAGGTATATTTTACATACATTCTGACACAATTCCAACAATAGTGCATGTCTGAGGTTTTTTTTGTATTAAATAATAGACATTGAATGTTAATTCCAGAGAGGTTATTCTTCATGAACATGCCTTTTTTTGTTACACTCGTGTCACATAAAGTAATATAGACATGAATGCACACCTGTTATGTGCTGATTGCAAAGATTTGTGTTTCGTCTCAACCACGTCTTGATAAGAAGCATGTTTTTTTGGGGTTTTTTTGTTAGCAAAATAAACATTTTATAAACATTGTATGCAATGCTCAATTTGTCTGTAGCATCCTCAAAAGTTCATAGTACTGTATTCTAACCGGCTCGAAGGCTCTTTCTGACATGTTGGACTTCTGATCCAGTTTCTATGATTAGTCATTTTTCATCTGTAATTGACTTTTTGAAGTGAGACCTCTGAAGTGAAAAGCAGTTCAGCTAATTACATATGTCACATTGGATCAGTGGAGAGGGTGGCTTCTTGGCCGTTGGTTTCCTCGCTTTCAGTAAGCACAAGGGCTCAGACAGAATCCATGCCTGTTTATATTAGCTACGGATGGGAGGATTTGCAAGACATCTCATTGAGGAGTTAAAGGCTGATCGGGTTTGATCACTCATTGTGAATTATATTGCTTTGAGTAATAGTCAATGAAGTTTGTTTTCTTAAAGGGACGGTTCACTCAAAGTCATTATTTACTCAACCTCATGATATTTTGAACATGCATGACTTTCTTTCTTTGGAATGTACAAACGAGAAACTCCCGCACACTATCAGAACTTGCATTTAAAAATTCTTTATTAGCAACGTTTCGGTCTCACGACCTTCATCAGGCATAGGCCTACTCAAATTTTCAAACTCAACCCATTTAAGACCAAGCACATGACCACTAAACAAGGCTACACCTGTAACCACTTCGACTAATTGTGGGCACATGATAACCACCACGTCACCACATTATCAACGTCATTGTATATCATCATAACAATCATTGAAAACAACAACAACAAAAGAAAAGAAAAAGAAAAACAGTTAAAGCAATACAATTTATAGCATCACATTAAACAATTATTCGTCA